ACACACACACACACACACACAGAGACTAACGGCGCCTAGTAGCACAATGATGGCATGCACCTAGAAAATTGATCGATGCTCCCAATGGTCACAAAGGGCATCATATGCACATTGAGGTCTCAATGACCACAGAGCCAAACCCCACCTACTCAATTCTGCAGCAGAAAGCATTCCATTGTCTGCCATCACAGTTTAGACTACCATGAAAGGGGATTCCAAATTGAGGACCATACAGTAGCACCTATGAAAGCATCGGTGTCCTTGAGACCTAAGCTGCCCCTCTTATCCCACAATGCCTAGCTATCAACAACTGAGCTGGGAAATGGTTAAAACTTAAAACTTAAAACTTAAAAGAGCAAAAAGAACCTACAGAAAGACAATGAAATGACCGGAATCGGATGAACGCGGACTTCAACATGGAAACAAGACAACAATTCACGGCGCAAAGAAAGAGAGAAAATGAAAATGATACGCATTTTGAAACTCTGAGCCCAACTCCCAGCTCTGAGCCCAACTCTGAGCCCAACTCTTTGCTAAATGTGTGGCAGATTTTAGCCACTCTGCCTACTACCCTAACAGATGTCCAATAGACAATGAAGGAGCGGGCAAAGATACAGACAGGCGGTAATTAGTATGGTCAGTTGGCGAATGATGTCCCCGGACTATCTCTAAATCCTTAATTGTCAACACTCGTTCTACTTACGCTTCATCATATGGTCTCTCCCCTTCTCGCAGCAGGACAGGGCTCGCCTGAACTCTTCTCCGCAAGGGAAGCTTGAAAGACATGGAAAATGACTCAAGGGCCCCTTTCTCCCACCAACGAATGGTTGCTAAGGTTTCCTCTTCACATATGAGAGGTAAGGGTCCTGAGCAGCAAGTATCACATCTGGCCTGTCCCTCTGATTATACGCCAGACATTTCCGGATGAACTCCTGCATGGCACGCATGCCACAATAAGGAGGATTAATTGTGCAGAAGGACAACCAAGGAAAGATAGCTTCAAGCATTTGAATACCAACACACATCCCTTCCCCACTCAATACTTGTCAGCATTTCAGAAGAGACCTAGAGAGATCACTAGGGAAAGAGGCAGAATGTCATACAGCATTCGGACTTCCTGACGAAATAGAGTTGCATGTCTACCAGAGTTATCAATCGGCATGAAATTGGCAGCAATTATATTTCTTCTATCTGCGTTGTGTAAGATTGTAGTGCATAGATTCACAGACAGCGCCACTAAGAAAATACCAAAACAGAGAGAGAGAGAGAGAGAGAGAGAGAGAGAGAGAGAGAGAGAGAGAGAGAGAGAGCACCATGAGCAAAGTATTCCAGCGAACCTGGACATAGATGGCGAGGGAGAAATCAGTGACAACAAACTCAAAGAGTGGGGGCTGTCTCTTATACACATCTAGATGTGTCTAGATGTGTGCAGGCAGGCAGGCAGGCAGTGACTGTCAGTCATTCAGTCAGGCAGGCAGTGACTCTGTCAGTCAGTCAGGCAGGCAGGCAGGCAGGCAGTGACTGTCAGTCAGTCAGGCAGTGACTGTCATGCAGTCAGGCAGTGACTGTCAGTCAGTCAGGCAGGCAGGCAGGCAGGCAGGCAGGCAGGCAAGGAGCGAACGTGATAAAACTTGCATACAAGGGTGGGGAAGAATAGCCGCAAGTGGTGGGTGAGATTGGCAGTCAGATGGGAGGAGGCAGAAGTGTTGGAGAGTGTGGCGGTGCCTCTCTCAGTCATGCCAAAAAGAACAAAGACAAAAAATTATTGAAGAAGTCGTCCACTCTTTGCCTCCCTCCCTCGTGTGAGGGAGGAGGAGAGGAGTTCTGTGCTTCTTTGGGGGGTGGAGGTGTGATGACTGGTTGCTGAGGGGGGAGATGGTGGGTATGACAGCGATTGTGCAGTGAGATGGGGAAAGAAAGTCAGGGATGGCAACGTAAACGTGGTGTCCATCTTGCAATCCAGGTGCTTACTTTGTGGGGTCATTTCGAATTTGATTCAAATGGGTCATGTGAAACCGGCAGGTCTGATAACCATTCAAAATGGAGGGTTCCAGCTGTTGCACAGCGACCATCAACGTTTTGGGATGCGCACAACAACAAAGAAAAAGCAAGCCAGTGGTTTGGGATGCGCTTCATGAAATAGAAAAAGCAATTCCTTTTTTTTTTTTTTTTTTTTTTTTGGTTTCGAAACGCAGGGGTCCAGTGCCCAGGGCTCATGTTATCAAATTGAATACGACGCAGGCACACGCCTCTTCCCATGAGGGCTGGAAGGGCCTCGGCCACTGCTAATATAGAGACGGCTTCCCTATACAACGAGAATGAAGATTGAGCGCTGTGCATTGATTGCTTCCCCAAGAGAAGGATTAACTCAGCCCCATGGACAATCGAATTCGGCCTGACGATAGTGAACCACCAATGAGCAAAAAGCCCTACAAAGCAAAATTTCGGGGGGAGGATTATAGCAGGGCAAAGAAGTCGAGCACATTCCAGGTCCCAGTCAAAACCCTGACCCACAGTTAAGAGGACCTGTGAGATGGAATGAACACAAAGCACATCAAGAGAGGAGATCACAGGCATCGTCTCCCAACACCCCTCCCCCCCCCCTCCCCCCAAGATGGAATAAACACATTCCAGGTCCCAGTCAAAACCCTGACACACAGTTAAGAGGACCTGTGAGATGGAATGAACACAAAGCACATCAAGAGAGACCACAGGCATCGCCTCCCAACACCCCTCCCCCCCCNAGAGAGAGAGAGAGAGAGAGAGAGAGAGAGAGAGAGAACACCATGAGCGAAGTATTCCCACGAACCTGGACATAGATGGTGAGGGAGAAATCAGTGACAACAAACTCAAGGCCTGGGGGGACGAGAAGAAATCCCCGACTCCAAGGGGGATATCAGAACACTCATGCAGGAGGGCAGAACTGGGGCTTACAGTTGGGAGGACAGCAAGACAGATGAAACAGGGGAGGGGGATCAGAAGAGGAGAGAACACCACGTGATAGTTCCGCAGAATGAGACACCTTTCCACCGGATCGAAGTTCAAAACAAAATAAACTACCCAGTACCACTCTCCAATGAGTCTCCATACCACCACCACCGTCTTCACCCGAATAGAACGCCCCGGTCATTCTAGCTGTGTCTGGACTGAAAATTGCAATAAATAGTATTAAATACGGCTATCATGATAGGGCGTTTTATTTGGGTGAAGACGGTAGTAGTCACACCCATCCGAAGCAAAGACGCCCCAGGCCCAGAGCAGCCGCAAGGATACCCCCAACAGTCTCCCGAACACGCCAAACGATGCAGATGCTCAACAAGCCTCTCTACCCGGTCGAGAAAGGATTTGGAGCCAAAGGCCTGATGATCATGAGTTGGAATGTCAAAGGCGTAGGTAATGTCGGACGACAGATGACACATTGAATGATATCTGCCTGGGTCTAAAGTACCAAGACAGAACAAAAGCAGACATTATTCTGTCGCAAGAAACCCACTGTCAGACATTATTCTGTTTTATCGACTTTTATGCATCCTTCTGCTGCGCTTGTTCGGGTGTACTACTTGGAGGATTGTCTTCTGACATGACTCACTCAGGGCATACTCAGACTAGCACTTTCCAAAATGCATCAGACCGCAATTTCGTCCGCACCTGTATGCATCTGGCCGCAATTCCGTCCAGAAATAAGTAAAAAAGTCCTAGTGTGAGTATGCCCTCCGATACATATTTTCCTCCTGTGATGTTGCACATGGTATGGTGATCGTTTACCATGCCAAGGATGACGTACATATGTTTCACACACATCTCCCCCCCCCCCCCCCCACACACACACACACACACATATCAGGAGAAAGTACTTCCACGTAGCTCCTTGCAGGGCTGATACCCCTGTCCTATCAATCAAACTAGTAAGAGAGTTAGTTATCTGGTGTGCAGTTTGGATATGACTGTCTCCTTGATGTAATGTGTATGTGTGTGTTTGCATGCATGTGCGGAGTTCGAGCACGAGGCTGAATGACCTGCTGCCCCCGGACACTAGTCCGTCTGGCCTTCCTCATGGAGGGACAGTGGGTGGTTCACACACACACACACACACACACACACACACACACACACACACACACACACACATAGTGGAGGCTTTTGTGTTATGGACCTTATGGTGCAATTAATTTTTTTTCGTGTGATTGTTGTTCGGTAGGTGTGTTGCCTTATGGCATCTATCCTTTTATGAAGCTCTCGGTCCTGATGCTGCCGGCTGACCCCTGGTTGGTAGCTGTTCTTTTTATTATCATTATCGTATTACGGGGAACCCCGTCGCAGCCACACCTGTGTTCAAGCCTCCAATGAGGGAACAGGCGGGAGCTGCACCCATCAGGAGGTGCAATACCTGCTACAGCAGGTGGGCGATACCGGTCAGGGGTCAGCTGGCAGCTTCATGACCGAGCTTCATCCAGGTAGCGAGTCGCTGTGCCTCCCCTTTGGTCCCCTCCCCCATCCAGGTGGGTACTGTACCAGAGTCAGTATCCAGAAAAGAAAGAGCCTGGAACATGGCCAGAGGACACAGCTGGTGGAGTTGTTTGAAAAGCCAACTGGCAAGTAGCCATAACAGAGTCAGAACACATGGACAGCACATCAACTGTCAATCATACTTTCCACACTGGTCACAGTGGCCGCCAAGAGCGAGATGGTTAATGGAAGGCCCACAATTCGGGGTTTTTCTCCGCATCGCCACAAGCAATGTCATCGAAAATTTTGCGAAACAAACAATGCAGGCTCGAAATACAAACATAAAAAAACCACCCAGGCAAAACAAAGGAAAAAAAAAAAAAACTCGAAAGCGCTATAAAATTATAAATAGTATAAAACCCTATTCGGAGCAGCTTTCGGAGCTCCCCAAAATTTTCTCCGAATTTGGTCGTTTTCTATGTTGGGCCATCGCCCAGCTCGGCACACCCGGGCCAGTTGGGCAGAGGGGGGGTCGCCCGGCAAAACCAGACTCTTGGCTGTCTCGTTGTTCAGGATGCACAGTCTGTCAAACCTGTCTGTTTTTTCCTACAGTAGTCCGTTGGTTACTCTGTAGTCCGGGACTTTGTACTTTTAATTAGCACGCTGTAAACAGGATTGTCAGTGTACGCAGCAGGGCTGGTCCCCGGTTGGACTGGGGCCCCCGGTTGAGTCCAGCGCATTAGGCTGGACGGGGGGTACCGGGCAGTGACAGGCATCCCCACGACCGCCCAGCCCCCACGAGGCCGCGACCTCCTATAGAAAAAAACTCAGGCTTTTTGGGACCCACCTCTGGAAAATAACGAGCGGAGGATCTCCGCCGCTTATCTTTGCAGATCAGCGGGGAACAACCGCCGCACGCGTTTTCTCAAAAATTGGGGGTCCACCAGGCCCCATGTTTCGATTTGGCATCGTGTGGTCCAACAGACCACGGACCAGAAGCCATTGGCAGGACATACTCGTCCATTCTCAGCCACAAGGGAATTTCTATGCCAGAACAGTGGCTCTCCTGAGGTTAAATGCTTCTGCAACATCACTAAGCTCTGGGGAAAGAGTTATGGGTTTGGGTTTCGGCTGTGTCTGAGGTGCAAGCCCAAGAATGGACCTAAGCTATATTTTTCTCTCAATCTATCTCTAGAATGGACCTGGCTCCGCTACATGTATCTGGACAGACTGTCAGGCGATATACTTTCGGAATGAGAACATTGATGATCCAGCATATGTAAAAACAAACAAACAGAAAACGTTCTGCCTGCACGAGCTGAAACCTGCACCCATAACTTTTCTGCTGTCGAACTATATTCTGGAAAAGCTATAAGTTTTGGCAAGGATCAACTCATATCATATCTCGTTTAGCTGCAGGATTTTAATGGCTGTTGGCGTAGTCCAGAATGCCCTCTGCTGCTGAATTGAAGTTCTTGGGCCATGG